TTCTTCTTCCGCACCGACAACTGTAAAAGTACGTTTTTTTGTTAGAAATAAATTGCCCCCTGAATATGATTTCCCAACACTACCACCACGTTATTAAATATATCATGCCACTTTCCCTCCTGACTCACCAAAAATGAAATTCCACTGAGCAAGCTCTGCGTTCCGAATCTTTTTGTTCAACAAATGCTCGCTAACATCAGTCTCAGCATAAAGGTGGGCTTTGTAGCATTCATCGGCGACTTTTTGAGCATAATCGTTGAACTTGGGAGCCACAGGAATAACTATTACTTGTCGAGGAGATAACCAAAACGGCCTAGAGAAGATGAATCGAGTTTGTTAAATGACAGAATTGTATTGAATAATATATTTTTGCCCGGTCTTTTGTCTTTTTTCCATCTGCTCCATTCTCTTTACCATTTCCCGCCAAAGTTCTCGGTCAATATTGCAACCATTCTTTCTACACTCCCTAATACCGCCCGATGAATCATCACCGGCCGAGCCAGTCCACTCGAGTCTCCATCACTCCCACCACCAGTCTGATATTCAAGCTGGAAGCGTTCGGGAAGTTGAAAATCTAGTTGGAGCGTGGCGCATTGGTGTTTACGTTTTAAAGCGTCGGAGATTGTAATATCAATCTAAAGTGTGCAATAGAGCGGTTGGTGAAAAATGCAAACAGGTGAAAGATTTTACGCGAAATTTCACGCAACTCACTTTTGGGCCGTAAAATGCTCCATCTCCTGGGTTGAATTCCCACGGATCACCGAATTTGTTTAGCGCATCTTCTAGTTTCTGTGGAATGTTACAACACAAGTGGCATAGTTAGCGCCAAGAAATGTCATTAGATAGAAATTGTCATCTATAAGTATTCATTGTCTAATACATGCCCCTTTACCTCTATTTACCTCTATTGATATTCACGTTGATCTTTTACCACATTCTCTCCTCCTTACCCAGCTTCAATATCTACACCCGACTATCAGCGTCCATACCTTCTCAGCCCGTTCCCAGACTTCAAGAGTACCCAGATACTTCTCAGGTCGTGTAGACAACTTGAGCTGAAACGTAAATCCAAATATACCGTATACATGTCGAAGAAAATCCAATGCTCCTGCAATTTCGTTCTCGACCTATTGATCGTTAT